GCACCCTTGTCCTCCACCTTTTTGTGCTCTCCCCGCGCAGATCTTGACCCTCAGGCTGCCCTGACCGCTCCCTGTCCCAAACCCACCCGGATCCACAGCCTGCCTTTGTCGCCCTCCTCCTGATTCCCACGCTGTTGCCTGATCTCCAGCATACCCTCACCACCCTGCTCCTGGAACCCCAGCTAAATCACCCTGTCCCTTCCATCCACAGCCTGGCTAGTTCAGGATTGCTGGCTGGGGGAGGCCCGCTCCAAGCTGCACATGACTGCACTGGGGCCTCAAGGTGCTGGAAAAGCAGGATCCTTGGGGCACAAAGCTCTGCCACAGGAACCGCGGGTGGGAGCTGCCTGATAGCCAGCCCCTGGGTTACAAATATGTCTTCACCTCACCTAGTTTAAGTTGCTCATAGCGTAGCCTCTAGGTCTGTCCAGATACCTGTGCAGACCAGAGCTGAGTCTGTATGTGGCATGTACCCCTCTTTCGCTATAGCTTTCTGGCTATAGGGAGGCCTGGTTTGTTAAATTCAACCCTTCCTTCCCCTCGTTTTCCCCATCTTCAGTTTCTTAAATAGAAACAAAACATAAAAAGATAAGATGAATAATCCCCAGCTGCTGAGAGCACAGCTCAGCAAACTCCCCTCGGGGCAGGCCCAGCTCAGACTGTCACCTTTCTGGAGGGACCTGTATGCCTGTCCTCAGGCATACATGCATGTCCTCACCCAGAGTGTCAAAGGGGCAGGAGTAGCATGTCCAGCATGTCCTCACTCAGAGTCGCAAAGGGGAAGGAGGAGGGCTGGCTAGACAGGAGGGTGGAGCTGCTGTACAGCCATCAGCAGTGGGGAAAGGTTAATAGCAGCAGAGAATGTGCAGGCGGACTGTGCAAATCCAGCAGTGTCTTCTTGCTGCAGCAATAGAATAGGGAACCTGCAACCTGCTGCCTTCACTGGGGAACAGCTGGATGAAACGACACTGGTGGTTGGTGTCTGCTTCAGCCCCATCCCTGCCAGCCGTGGCATGTTGTGGTGAGAGGATGAGACTGAGTTGCCTAGAGCCTGCGGTGCAGGAGGTGGGCACTGAAGGGCAGCCAGGATCTCTTGACATGACCTCTGTGCTGCCGCTTGGTGCAGCGACTGCCTTGTAAAGCATGTTGTTCTGCATCCCAGAGGTGGCACTGGAAGGCCAGGTTTAGCTCTGGCAATCTTGTTTCCTCCTGTGGGTTTGACTTCTGCTGCCTCCTTCAGGGTGTGAATGTCAGCTGCCTGCGATGTTGTTTTTTTAATATAGAGAGTAGCTTTGAGTATTTTACCGTGAGTACAGCAAGTGAAAGTGAGTTTTCAGAACAGGTAAATTCTTTACCATTTCCTGTACTAAAAGTCTCTCATCAGGTAGTGACTGATGATTGCTGGTTGGCCTTGGCCGGATTAAAGACATCCTACATGCTTGTTTGAATCAATGGGTGTTGTACAGAATGAGCAAAAAGAAAGAGATAATCAAGGCTTTGCAAGAAGTGATTCATGAAAGCAGTCATTTTATTTGTGTTTTTTTAGACCTCTGAATAACTGCCCACATATTTCCATTGTTTTATTCCTGGTCTTCATCTGCCAGATGAAGTGCTTCCCACATTTATTTTCAGGTCCTAAGAGAGACAAATATGATAGGAATTTTAAATAGAGTCAATAAATTTAAATACCAAGCACCAGATGGAGCTTGGTATTAGTACACCTGGGGTGGGGGGGAACAAGGCAATAGAAAAGAATAAAAGAGGTATGATTACTGAACATAATCAACACCAGCTTCTCCAGAAATTTCTGTTTGCCACAGGCTTGAATAGCAGGTGTTAAAGAGGGCTATAAACTGTGATTACAAATGACTTATCAATGACAAGTTAATCATGTTTACTCTAAGTAGACTCCATGTAGAGCATGTCTGAAAAAAGAAAGCTGGATTCGCTTTATGTTTTGAAAGTCTCCCATCTTGTAAAGTGGTTTATTCCCACACATTCTTTCAGGAAAGCCCAAGGTGTATCAAGGTGTTAGAGTAAAGATTACAGTTAAGGAGTTACTGCAGCAGAGAAGAGCACGACAAGCAGCAAGCAGTACAGCAGTAAGTAAAACTCTTTTGGCATCTGTTTTGTCTCTTCTCTCAGTCTTTTTCCCCAAGATTATAATCTCTGTGCCAAGGAGACTGCCAGTCTGAGTGTAGCAGGCTGGTGAAGATGGGGGAGAAGAACATTCAGCCAGAGTAACTGCAGCAGTGATCCAAACACAACATCAGATCATCACCTCTTTGATGAGCCATTAGTGCAGGGAGAAAGCAGAACTAGTGCTCCAGAAACATAACTCACTCTGCATTGGAAGGCCCAACACAGGCAAATTTTGGCCCAACAGCAACTCCAGTATCATTATGCTGGATGAGCAAGGAAGGCCATGATCAATGCCTCCCATGTAAAATATGGCCTGTTTGGGCTGAAGCAACAGCCCCGAAGTTTGTCTAGCAGAAAGGTATAAAACAAAGCATGGGCAAAGACGCCTTAAGCAAGGCTCCGTTAGGGCTCCTTAGCATAATATTCAAGTGTACTTGACTAAATTCAGGTCTCCAACATTTTTCAGTACCACCTGGGCAGCTCGTAGCCCCATCCCTTCTAGAGGAGGGGATGGATATCTCTGTGTGTGTACACTCTCTCACTCGCTTTCCAGTCTTTGTAGGAGTCCTCTAGCTCCAGCCACTCTTGGGGATTTGCATAAAGAGGTTGGTAAATCATTACTTCTTCCTGGTTCATGACATTACAGCTTTGGATAGCTTTCAGATTTATCTCCACCTCCTGTACCTTGTTGCAGCTGATTGCACAAAAAGCTGATCAGCCTTCAAGCCGCAGGCAGAGGCCTGGGTGAACAGTGCACGGAACTGCTGGCTTTGGAGATGCTGAGCTACTCCTCCTGTCCAGCCCTAACAAAAGCAGCCGCTCCATCACAGCATGGGTCACAGGGCTGCATGGAACTGGTTTTCACTCCCCATAGCAAGTTTACGCTGCATTTGTTTTGCCCACACGGGACAAAGTGAAAAGTGGCAATGCAGGAGGTTACCTTTGTGTTCGGTAAAAGGTATGTATTGTCCTGGAGAGGCCCCGGAGGTTAGGGCTGGCAGGGTAAGCTACCTCTGTGCACTGAGAAAAGCTCAACCTGAAAACTTCAGCTGCCAGTGGTATGGCTCTGTCTGCTTTGTTACATATCTGCAGCCAAAGAGAAGAGGGGTACTCCTGTAGGCACTTTCAGCCCTGAATAGCTGCTATTTAATGAATTAAATGCATGGGGAAGAGCTAGGAAGTTGTTGCTGGGGAAATGAGCCACTCATTTTTAATAAAGGAAACTAAGTGGAAATAATTTGAATTAAAACTGAGAGAAAAAAAACAACAGTATTTGTATTTACAGAATAAAATCCTGGTACCAAACAACAAACATCAAAACTCCCATCACTTTTGTGGTGGATTTCTTCACTCTGGCAGGTTTGGTTCCTAGAACAGATTGATCTGTCTGCTTCAGCTTCCAGCATTCCTTAGAAAATGGGACTGTCCAGTTTCATAGACGAATGTAGTTGTGTTAGAGTAGGGAGCAATGTCAGAGCTGGTTCTCAAATAAAATCAACCCCAAATGCGGTGATCCAGTCTGGTGCCCAGCCACGAGATACCTGCAGTTGTCTTTAGTCATGTTTCAAGAGTTATGTCTACAATTTGTTAACTACTCTCAATCATATTTATCCCTACAGATTGTTAGGGATCCCTCCACTGTGGATCATGGTCCTAGAAATTAACGGATATTAGTTTCAAAGGCAGCCACATCTCTACTGAATTAACAGTAATAGGAGGAGCACCCTAACAAGCTGCTGTATCAAGAGCTTTACACCAGGTTGGAGTTGTGCTCCTCCAGTGCCATTATAGGCTCAAGAAAAAATCATGTTATGCACATTAATCTTGTTCTCTTAATACTAGGGAAGTTTTCCATATCACACCCACGAGGTAAATAAGGTTTACATAAATAGGTTGAAGAGAAATCCCAGCTTACCTCATCATGCAGAAGAACGCTTTCTTGTGTAACAGTATCTACAATTCCTTTTCTTCCCTTCTTTTTGGTCAGGTTTCCTGGAGCGGCAGCAGCAGCATCCAGTTTTCAGAGTCTGCGTCTCCACCTCACCCAGGTTGGTACAAAGCCCATCCGCGTGTCCCTTCCCACCCTCTTCCCAATTTTTCCCATAGCTCAGAATCTTTCCAGCCCTTGGTTGAGGCAGGCACTGCCAGATAACAGGCAATGCAGCCAATCAGCACCCGAAAGGAGTGCACGAAATGCAGATGAGGATCCTGTGAGGCCAGCAGGGTACATATTACCCCATTCAGGAGAACACTCACATGCTCTCATTTGTGCAGTTTATTTTCCCACAGCAAGTAGCAAGATCCCCTTCAGTAAGGGATGCTCATCCCCTAGGGAATAATGCTGCTGGCATCACCTTCTCCAGGCTGCAGTCCGTGGGTCTGAATGGAGCTAGAGGGTCAGATCGCACAGGGGCACTTTGCTGAGCTCCAGCAGTTGGCCGTTCTCACTCTCCTGGCAGCATCCATGGGAGTGAGAGGAGTGTCAGGTTTTCAGCAACACAAAGAGTTTCTTCCTCCTGTATGTGAATATCCAAGGAAAGTGGAAAGGGGTGGAGAGTATAGCAGTCTGAGCTTACAGATCCTCCAATTATTCTACAGCTAAAGCAGAGAGGCCTAAAAGATTGGGCAGGTGTGAATATATACATTGTATGGATAACCATCAATGTTTAGGAATCAGTTTGCTTATTCTAATAAAGGACTGTGAGACCTATCAATTTGCTTATTCTAATAAAGGACTGTGAGACCTACCAAAGCTTTTTCAGGCTGGAAAGTCTCCATCTGTTTATGTATTGTTCCCTCCTCCTACCCACATCCAGCAAAACACTGCCACCCTGAACCTGCAAACAGTTATGACTCTAACTCTCAGCCTATGTGCATTTCCATTGCCTTCAGACCTGTGCCCCTCCATGTGGACAGGCTTTGCTTTTAACCATGTTTGAACACAGCATGAAAAGGTAATCATTCTGAAAAGTCAGATATGCTGTGAGCTTTCATACCGCAGCAAGCACATTGCAGTACGTTGAGAATCTGACCCTACAGCTTTCTAGGAACTCCCACTTCCGCCAGTAACACTACATGGATGCAGTGCCATGTTGACTTGCTCCATTTTGTCTGCTCAGAAGTTTGTCTCCTGACTGGCTTTTTAGAGTATTAAAGAGCAAATTTTTCTTCTGTTACTCCTTTCTTCTAGTAGATGTATCTACCTTGCATGTGAAGACTGGGTGAGGCAAAAGCGCAAGCTATCTGCCAAGCTGTGAAGCATAAATCACTGCATGGTAAACTTCTAGGTCTGTAAATAGCTGACATTTGAAGGGAGGCTGGTGGATCAAGAGTCTGAGGGAGTTTCCAGTTGGATCCCTGTCCAAAACAGCTGGAGCCAGAAGAGTTTCCAATAGTATTTAAAGATTTTTGGAGCTTTCCAAAGGGACTACATTTCCCCAGTTATTTGCATGCTTTTAAGCATCTTCCTCCTGGTGTCTGCTTCCCTAGAAAATTCACCCTGAACTTGAAGGACCTTTTTCTTTGTCTAAATCCATAGAGTACTGAAACCTGACCTGGGGCAACACCTACCCTTTGTGAAGACAGATACTGAATAATCTGCTACTGTCTCGTTTACCTTCTCTCCTAGGACCTTTTGATGCAGAACCCATCTCTTCTGTTCCCAACTATTGTCCATCATGGCAGTTTTCAAATTGTCTTTCTTGCGAAGAAAGCCCTAGCTATTTGGAACAACTGGTAGATTCCTGCCTTCAGACAGATGCACCCTCAGACCCAGCCTTCAGTGCTTTCCAGACATCCTCACACTACACCTCAGATGCCTTCCAGCCAGTCCCACACTGCTTTAACCAAAGCCTGGTAAGTTTTGTGTCCCAGGGGAATAGAATAGGGAGGATTGTCCTTTCTACAGATCTGCAGATTTTCTGCAGAGAATAGCCCAGTTCCTGCTAGTGGTTATCTAACTCACAGAGAAGTTCCCTATTAACTAGTGTCACAGGAACTGCCTCTTGGATTTAGGCCTCCAAGGACCAAACCATCTCCCCGACTAGCCAGACTCCTGAGCAAGGCAATAGTGTTGAAATTCTGGCTGCTGTCCGCATTTCTCCAGATGACACCCTGAAACATCCTGTGTTTTGTTTTCTCTCAAAATCTAGGCTGCCGGATCCCCCAGTTCAGCTGATCTGTCTAGCCCATTGAACTATAGCTGCTCTCCTCCTCAGCTATCTCCTTTCACCCCACTGACCCACAGTCCGCCCTCTGCTCTGGACTCTGAGACTTACAGCTACCCTGCAGAGGAATGGTCCTGCCATACCCCCTCCCCATACACCACCTCTGCCTGCTGCTGCACTGCCTATGGCTCCCAGCATGTGGACACCAGGGTCCCACAGTACTTCCCCTGCCCCAGCACGGACTGCATGGACTACCTACCGCCCATGGCCATGGCCGATGACTTCTTCAGAAGGGATAGGAACTGTGACATCTGCTATAGCTAATGGGGACTGTGGTTTTACACATCCACTGTATCCAAATCAGATTAATTGCCCATGAACTATGCAAAGCTGTGCTGCCTAACACAGTTCAGTTTATTCTTCACTACTCACACATTTTCTACATGACACTGTCACTACATTAGTCTTCCTGTCTTGTATGGTCAGGGGTATTGGGGTGTTTTGTTGTTGTGGTGGTGGTTTGGGGTTCTTCTGCTGCCTTACCAAACACATGTAATTAAGCCAGCCCTTTTTGATACGAATAAATAATTTGGTACATATGTTGAAGCCTATTCATTCCTCATGTGCTAAATGTCAGTGCTTTTCTGTTCTGCTAATGATGCAGGATCCTGACCCTGTTTCTCGTAAAGATAAGGAAGAGAGACTCTCAGCCACCTATACAGGGAGTAATTACTCAGCAGCATGAAAGCAGCTTACCCTTTCCAGCACATAGAGTCTACAGCAGATAAGTCTCTACATATCTCAGTACCCAGCACACTAGCTACAGAGAAAGCTGTACATTACTCCACTCTGAGATGGATCTGCTGCTTTTAGCCACTGTTTCTGCTCAGACTGCCATGATGATACTCTCTAGCAATCTTGCAGAGAAGGAAAGCTGCTGTTCTCCATACAAGCCCAGGGCTTAGCCCATGGGTCATGCACCAGGAAGGCCCCTCAGGCCTGCACAGAGATTGAATCCAGTGCCAAACATCTTTGGCTGCTGATCAACCACTTCCCTTTAAAGGCAGAGTTTCAGTGAGAGGCTGATGTAGTTTGGCAGCCCTTTGTATAGTTTGGTCTGTTGATATCAGGTTTTCTTCACTATTCAGTGTAATCAACTTAACAGGAGCTAAATGATTTATTTTTTTTTAACTAGATAATGGGAAAGTTATCATACCTGAGGATTCCCTGTTTCTTGCATAAACCCAGACCTTTCTAAGACTATGTCTCACCTCCTTTCAATAGCACTTGGTGAGGCAGACTGCCAAGACACCCGTTTCTCACTGAGCACCCAGCCTGGAAAGAAATAAGTATCTCTCCATATTTGATCCAACACTAATGAAAAAAAACAACTACAAGTTAGTAGAAAAGACAAATACATAATTTAACTAGCTGTATGGGTGAATGTACACGTGAAAATGATTTTTAAGCATTCAACAAGACAAGTGCTCATATTAACACATCTTACCGCAGGATTAATGTGTATCCCAGTCTACACAACCATGCCACCAAGGAAGTCTAGTAACATATTACAGTCTAACAACATACCTCTCACCTCTGCATCAGGCAGATATCTATATCTAATACATTATCAGCAGACCACACATTTATCAATATCTGTACAGCTATCAGTGGTTACGCTGCATCTCAAAGAGGACTGCTCTGCACAGACAGTGGTGTGCAGTGGAGAAGTTGTGCTCATCACTGAGCCTATGGCTGCTGTTCAGGCATGACCACTTCGGAATGGCAGTGTGTGAGCATAAGCACTACAAACCACCCTACATCCCATTCTTATTCCTGCTCCTTGGCTGTTGCCTGACCCAGGCAAAAGACCCCAGTCCTCCAGTGGGGGAAGCTCTCTCTTGGAGGGCTGGTCTGGTCTTGCCACTGAGCTGCCACACTTAAACCAGCTTCCATTAAGTAAGTAGTGCTGTCCTCCATCCCTTGCAGCCTCTTCTTTTTTTTTCTGCTGCTCTTTCTCCAGTTGTTTTGCAATCCCCTTGCCAGGGACTTGGAAACGTGTTTTAGACACTGATCTCCAACTCCATGTCAATAGCTCCAGGTGACATACGCAGTGCAAGTAAAAGCTTGCTGACTGTTGACACAATGATGTCTTGTTGATATAAGAAAGGAAAAAAATTCCCTCAAAAACAACAGAGGAGGACTGTTCAAAGGTTGACAGTGCATTTTCTGGTTATGAGGAACATATTCTCTCCCCCGCTTCTTTGTCCCCCTAAAAAAGGGAGGGGGGGGTTAAAGGAAAGTAACTTGGGTCACATCTCCAACAGCACTACTGAAACACTGACATTTCATCAGTCCCTGCCAGGTGAAGTTCTGCCAGCCTGTATAAACACATGTTTACACAAAAGTGAGGATCACCCCATTCTTACAAAAGCCATGAATAACTCCAGGAGTAACCCGCAGTTAGGGGAACATAAAAGGTTCTTATTTTCAACTTCTTTTCCAATTGCACAGGGTATTTGATCAAAAAGTTTTGCTTGCCAACCGACTTTTCTATGGCACCACTTAAGAACATTTGTTTGGTGATAACAAGCTTTTGTTATTAGCAATTTATCCAAAGCTGCAGATAGGAAGAGATTAACTGGGCAAATAAAGGGGTATCACACACTGCCAGTACTGCTGAAGTTACAAAAGCTACATTTCCCCTGAAACAGTCATCAAAAATTGAGGGGTTAACTGTGAACTAAGATACTGCTCAAATCAATGAAATTCACCCCAGCACAGAAGTCTTAACACTCAGGTCACTTTTGAGCCTTAAAAGGGATTTTCTTTACACGCAGGCCAGGAACTTGCTGGCTTGACAGGGAAAGGTGCTTTATATGCATGGGGAAGCAGCAGCCTCCAACTGTCTCGTGGATCCAGTCCAAAGACAATATGAACGTTGCTCATTGTTGATTGTGGTTGGCTTCAGAGCAGGCCTCTAATGTGTGAGCTTTGGGAAGCTGAACACAGATGTGCCTGTAGAGAGAACAAATCCTTCCTGGGTCGGTCATGGGTTCTTCCGTCTGCAAATCTCATCTGTCAACTCTGAGTAACAGGCTGCCAGGGTGACGCTTTGAATGAAGCGACATCCATTCCTCCCCAGACCGATATTTTCCCTGATGCCCTGGAGATGGTGATGTTTACAGACTACAAGTCACTGATGGTGTTGCTCTGTATTAAACATCCAACAGCAGGCAGATTTAAAAATAAAGGGGTAAGCTGCTCTAGAAAACAGTTCATGTATTTTTTTTCACTTGCCTCAACAGGATTTCTGCCATCTCATGGACATTTCTAGATGGCAAAAAAGCCTTTTACATGCTCCCTAGTGCATCACATGATAGTCACAGTTTTACACTTTTGTTGCTAGCAAGTTCAAGAAATGGATGTTTTATTGGTTGTTTTGTCTAGACGCACAGTACTAACTCACCAATGCAGTTATCACTCAATTTAGGGCTTGCTATAACATCCCTTCAAAGTAAGAAAGCACATGCTTTTGCTGGCCTATGCCCAGATACATGCAAATTTATGCAAACACATTCAAATACAGGTCTGCTTTTTATTGTCAGCGGATGTTGGCAGGTTTGTAGATATGATGTAGTGAGAAGCAATAGCAAAACAGCAGAGATGAGGGCTGTGAAAGTTGAGAAGATCTCTGCGTTTCTTAGGAACTTTTGTTCGAGTCTGCTACACAGTTGTTTAAACAGTTCAGGTCTGGGAGTCTGACAAGTGCTTTAGAAAACCTTCATCCCATTGAGTTAGTCAGTGGGGGATCAAGGAAGTTACAGCAGTGATTTAAGACATCTGCCCTTCATCTTATTGTTTAGTCCTGAAAAAACAACTTGTGCAACATTGAGAAATCAGCAAACTCTAATTCAGAATGTGTACTGAAGATGAGACACCCTCTGAGAAAGGGTTGTCAAAGCATGGCTTTCCCTTCCAACAGGCATCTACTTTCAATCCTGTTGACCCATCAGAGACACTGTTGTGAGTCGATTGCACAGCAATTCACAAATCATTTCACAGAAAGAATAAGAAGAATCTATTAAAACGCCCCCTTAGATAATAATGGGAATAGAAAAGCACTTACCACATTGCACTCTGACCCTGCTGTGTACAGGCACACACAGCTCAAAGGATTTCTACCCTGTCCATGCCTAAAAGTTGTTGAAGACCCAAAGGAAGCCTTGGTCTCCTACACAGGCATTAGCTCCGGTGAGGTTTCAGCTCCTCACTCTGCGGCACTTCCAGAGCTACTATTTGCCATCAGAGCTGGAGACTTGGATTGGATCAGATGACTCAAAGAGAAATCCCTTCACTGGGAAGCACTCAGGAGCCACACAAACCTATACTGCTGAGAACCTGCTCCACTGAGAACCTTCCCAATGTACTTGCTCTTAGAAGTATCTCTTTTCTTTTCCTAGGTGGGGTGGCAATGGACAGCTGCTTCAGCTTTCTTCCACAAAGTGCTAAGAAACAGGGTAGTAGCAGCTTGCAGGAACCATCCCCTTGGAGCTCTTGAGTTCAGATGTCCATTCACTCAAGTAAAATACAGCCATGGATGACTCCTCAAGCTGACTTGACCTCTTCCATCCAGTCTTTTCCTTCCTCTCAGGTTCTTGCACTCCCAGGCTAGCAGACACAACAGAGGTAATTGCACATCACAAAGGCTTCAACATTTCAACCAGTACCTCTGTACAGGATCTAACAAGAGGCACAGTTTGTGCATGTCTGAGAGCAGTATTTCTCAACCTTTTACAACCAAACTACCATCTTGTGTTCCATTACCACTATGCATTTCAGTTGCCACCAAATCAAGTACAGGTTGGCTGTACTTCAAACATTTGCTTATTTGTGTCACAGCCATTTGCTTTGCTTGCCACCTTGCTTGCAAGCAATGCTTGAGGTTTATTAGTATTGTTTGTTAACAAAATAAAGTTTTCAGACATTTGAAAGCTCATCTTCTGATATCTTACATGTTACTCATGGCCTACAGGTTGAGAAACACTGTCATCCCACCCTGGTTTAAAGACTCAAGGAGCAGGGATGTGTTCATTTTTCTAAGAGTGCAATCAGCAGCTGAAGTTGAAGCTATTCCAGAAGCTGCAAGCAACCTAGGATCTGGCATTTTGGTGACAGGAAATGAATGCAGATGCAACTTTTCCTTTCTTCAGCAAATGCCTAACCTGCCAAAAAAAATGTAGAAGTTCGTAACATACCCTCTGAAACTGTGCATGCAGACACCCCAATATATACATACACGTACTGATATGCATTTATATATGTGACTATATACACATATAAGCACATCAGAGACTACAATGAGCTCCAGGAGCCTTTTCATACCTGTAGGCATGAAACATTTGATGTAGGCATCATACCTTGAGCTTTGCTACCATTATGAAAGAACTACTCATTGACATCTCCCCAGACGTATTTGGACTGCCAGCTCATGCCTGCTTTGTGCTTCTCAATTACAGAGTTACTGAAGTGGGGAACCCCCAAGCCACTGCAACATGAGACCCATGTCATGACTTGTCCTCACTGTTCCCCTAGTAAGGACAAACAGCTCTGGTGTGCACAGATGTGTTGGGAAGAAGCAGCAGCAATGCGGACTATGTACCTGATCCCCAGCTTTTCCAGAAGGAGCCATGTGGATTGGCTGGTCGTTGTCTAAATTTCGGATGCTTGGGTCTGCCCCGTGGTCAAGGAGCAACTGGACAATTTCTTTCTGGTTCTTGTCATGAGGCAATGCAGCTGCCATATGCAGAGCTGTGTTGCCATGTGCCTAATGCAATAGGAGAAAAACAAAAAGAAAAAGAAGGTGAGAAAAAAACCTGTGCCATCTACTCAGAATTGTCCTAGAAAAGGAGACTTGTGAAATGAGAGCTGAAGAAGCCTCACATGATTACTCACTGGGAGGTGAGAGGGTATCCCTGCTCCATCTCTCCCTTGTACAGCTACTTGTGCAGGAGATTTGTGGATTTAGATTTCTCTCTCTCTCATAGAGCACTACAAATTGGGGGTGGGGTATGCTTCAGATATAACTAACGAAAAGTCCTGTGCCATGCATATTCATCCAGGAGAAACAATAGGAACTATTTCACTGGGAAACATTTAAGTCATTTTAAGGGACACAAACCACATTATGCAGTGTTACCCATCACACATGGGCTATGCAAGGATTTACAATAGCAGACCCATTTGTGCCTCACACATTTCCACTACTCCTTTTTACAATCACTTGCAAGTGCCAGAAAGTTGCAAAGAGACCCTGACACAAGTAAAAGCCAGTCCCAATAGTGTATAGGTTATACACAAGGCTTAGACTGATCTCTTGGCTACCAGGCATCTTTGTGTGAGTCCTCCCTGATCACCAAACTCATTGCATTAACAAGTGCTGCTTTGAAAGGTACCAAGCCATCCCGGTAGTCAAGCCGAACCAGAGGTCCAGCAGCACATGTCCCTCAGTGACTTTGTCTACTGTGGACCAAACAGGGCTGCAGGTGGCTTGGCTTTGCAGCAGGCAAAATATATCATGCTGGGCTCCTTCTCCTAGTTCCTTCTAGAGTGCTGAAGGTAGTGCTTGGCTTTATTTTCATGGTGTTGTCATTGAGCAAAGTCCTAAGTTCAAGGGCCTACTTACGCATATATTGACTCCAGCGTCTTCAGTAACAGGATTTGCACAGAAACAATGGACAAAATTTATCCTGAAGCCACAGGAGGGCGCAGGACGGAGCTTGTAGCGATTTGTTGCAAAAAAACTGGTATCACCAGACCGTGTAGAAATCTGTGCCCCTGCCTAGTCAGGTATGACTGGTAACGGTTTTAAATGAGAAAGACCTAATAAGCAAATGCATAAGGCAAGGTAATTTTAGTCTGCAAAAGGTCTCATTTAGGCAGCTGTGCACTTTCTTTCTCTCAGAAACAATCATACACTTGTCATGAACCTGGAATGGTTGGGCACAAATTGCAACGTGTATTACTATTCCAGTTGTTAAGAGGAATACACATGATTTTGAGGTCCTACTTGCCACTGAGACATAAGGAACACTGAAGCACAAAACAGCAAAATTTTAACAGCTGTTCTCAAACAAGGCATTTTTTTACAAGTCCTGAACAAGCAGATCCTTGTCAATTTTATCATCCCTTAGAGTCAAGGGATGGTTACAAGCTCTTTTTAGGAATTCTTGTTAAAATGGAAACATCTGCGTTTGTTTGCTGCATCTTTGTGGCAGGAACACTTGATAGCTTCCAAATCCAGGCATGGGGCTAAGAAAACAAGGCAATCTGGCAATGCCTTGGCTTTTATAGGGCTTATGCAAGACAATGGTCCAGAGCATCAACATATGGGTTCTAGGAATCTTTCCTGTGAAAAATACCTCAAAGGCCTCAATGTTTTTCTCATTGTGAAATCCACAAGGAAATGGATTTGGAATAAGACACCACATCAAGCAGTGGCTGACCCAGGGAAGCCAGAACATGAATCCCAGCATCCCTGTTTTCTTGTCATCTTCATACTTGGAAGAGCTTAAAAGCCAGGATGGGTATCAGACAACCTTGCCATCATATTTCTTACTGTCCCAGACAGCTCATCAACAAGACTGAAGACTCCAAGTGATCTTATCACAGTAGGAAACTCTCACAGGATTGTGATCAAGAGACAACAGCAGACTCCCATGGACAAGCTAGCACCTGCCTAATGGGTCTTAAAAGATACAGAAAGTATGTAGTGAAAAGGCAGCATAAGGCAATTCACTGTACAGAAAGTCAGAAACCCAGCGTGATTACCCACATACACAAAGCAAAACATGTTTCCTCCAGCCCAGCAGAAACCTGTAGGGGAAAAAAATCATGAGGCTGCCCGCTATCTGCTTCCCAATTGAGCAATTGAGTTGACAGAAAACATTAAATTCCTTTCTGATGGGGATACAAGCATGTGGATGCTCTAGGGAGTACAAGCAAGGCTAAGAGACTGAAGCTGCTGAAATGAAAAGCTAATGCACTGACCTCTCAAAACAGGGAGCCCTAGCACTGTCCTCCCCTCTGCCCTTTCCTGCTTAAGGGTACCCTCCTACAGAAGCACCCAGAATCATGCGTTTATTCCTGCT